AACCTTTTTTCAGAGTTCAGTACAGCACCTATTTTATTTAGAGTGTATACTCTGCATAAGATTATTTAAAAAGTATTTCATTGACAATTATTATTCAATGTGTTTTATTTGATAAAAAATGATTTTATTCGCCTTTTTTCCAAATACATAAATCAAAAGACAAAAATTGATTGATTGAAAATGTTAGATATGATTTTAACTTTGAGTCATTTGTGATTTTATTGAGTAAAATTCGTCAGAAAAACAAATTTTGAAAGTGATTTTTATTGAATAAATTATTTAATAGTCAAAATGAAATTATTTAAATTTAAAGAAATTAAAGAATGAAAGAAAAATCTAAAATAATAATTTTGATAAGAAAAGAAGACACTTCTTAATGGAAAGAAATAAAATGAAACTGTTTTATAAAGAGAATGTGTGAGCCTTGTTCTTATGTCACATTCACCTCGACAGCTTCGCACACAAACCTCAAGATTGTGAATTAAAAAGAGTTGTTATGGTATTTGTATTTTATTACGTTTTTTTTTGAAGTTTGTAATTTTATTTAATATTCACATGTGTTATTGTACGTTTATGAAGGCCTGAAATTTAAATATATTAGTACAAATCTGAAGATCTTGAGGGTGGGTAAAACGAAAATATCATTCATTACAAGATCTTATGTTCAAGATTTCGAATATCTGTCACCAAGATCTTAACAAGCTATACATAAGATATTAACAGTCTGTACCTAAGATCTAGTTATAGATCTTATGTACAAGATAATTAAATTATCTGTACCTATTTTTTCAAGATCTGTTTACTTATCTGTACCTTTCGTCTTGCCCAAGATCTTGCTTACAAGATGTTCGACTAGGGTGGAAACTTCGAATCTGCGGCCGACTTTACTTAGTTAATTATTAATATACTCTATGCAACTTAAATAATAGTAATTCCGAATGGACATTTCAGATCCGAACTCCGTTTTAGCTAAATAGTTATTCGTTTATTAACTAATCATTAGCTGATTATTGATTAATAATTATTTATATTTTTTAAAAAAATAGACCAACTGTAACTACAGATGAGGAAACAAAATCCGAAGTTAGTTCAAAGCTATCAATTAATAATTAATAAATGAACAATTAACTAACTATTTCTCGTTAATTGATTAATAATTAATATATTCATAAGAAAAGCTGGCAGATATTATTGAGGATAAGGATTTCAAACTCGAGATCAGTTTTACTTACTAATTATTAAAGGATTATCAAGTATTAGTATTTTGTAAAAGAAAGGGACTACAATAGTCCTCTAAACAAGGTTGACGGAAAGATGATCAAGAATAAAGAATACAAATACCAAACGAGAAGTTTTAATTGGTAACTATTTCGTTTTAATTAATTGATCATTAATAATACGAACTTTTTCAAAAGTTTGATCAAAAGGTTATCCAGAATAAGGGAAAAAATTGGATTTAAGGTTTGTTTAATCTTATGAATTAATTAAGTAGTAATAGTCTTACTTTTACACAGTTTAATCAGAAGATTATCACGGATGAAGACTTCGAATCCAAGGTCAACTTTAGTTCTTTGTTTGAACAGGTAACTATTACTTTTCTTATGTTGTTTTTATTATTTAAAAAACTTAGCCAAAGAGTATCGAACATAAAAATCCGAATCTATGATGAGTTTCAATATTATTAGTTATTAATCAATTATTTACTGATAAACCAAAACCAACACTTTCACGAGAAAGAGTTAAGCTAGTCCACGGCAGACATTGGTATCGTAACTTTTTCGTAACTAAATAATTTTGAAGTCCTAATCGTGATGAAAAACTTAGCAATTTTATTTAGCTAAACGTGTAGATAATTTAATTAGTATTTACACCCACACCCACACTGTTTACTGATATCCTGACTTTGTTTGCTATTTTCTTAGTACAATCAAAATTACCATCTATGAAAACAAACGCAAACTATTCTTATTATATTTGTACACAAATCTTCAATGAGCCTAAACATTATTTAATTGATTGGCTAGATCGTCTATTCAATGATGTAGGCTTCAAAAATGTTTGCTTGATCAATGTCGATCAGCCACTACCAGAATCACTTTGACAACAATTTTCGATCGCTTACGTTGAAAAAAAGATCTTGGGCAAGAGTTTCAGTATTGTCTCTCATCATGTTTTGTGGGTGAACCGATGCGTGCTGAAGATATGTTAATGATTCATGATATTGATGAGTATTTGAATGTGAGAGAACCTGATGAAATATTTAATAATTATAAAAATTATGATCAATTTCATTTTAGCGAAATTCGATATGGTAACCTCAATTCTTTTTTTATTCTTATCAATTACCTTCTTATCTTTTTTATCTTTAGGTTATGTTCTAGATACCGATAATGAAATAATGAATCGTTCATTGCGTACACCTAATTTATGGCGTAAGCTACATCATCTGCTTGGTGAATACGAAAACGATGATTTAAAAATTATTTAATTGCAAGTCTTATAGCGAATAGTCATGATATAATGAAGGCAATGGCAAAGAGATGATTCGCGTTGGTGCTATTAAATCCCTGGACACACATTTTCAATCAAGTAATATTCTGTCAAAACGAGCACTTTATATGAAGGTCAAAAGCAACAGCAATGTAAACGACGTAAAAACGGTGTTTTCCGTCAGTGTAATCCGGTATTCCAGAAAACGGTAAGAATAATGCGAAAAACGGCTACTTTTTTGAGATGACGAATTACGGCAAAATACGGTGAGAATTAATATAGTAACACACCATTTTATAATCGTTTCGCATCATCTAAGATGCCGTTTCCAATGGTCGGAATGATCGCCCTGGGTATAGATATAAAGAAGATTCATTTAAATCATTATGTGATGCGAACTAAAAAAGATGCTATGCAATCTGCGACGGAATGCAACAATATTGAATCACGAATGAGCCAAATCAATTCGAATCCATGGTTTCGTATTATATTCGACGACCCAATTACAGTCTGTAAGAGATTTATCTAAGATAATTCACCATATAGTATTTCGTCTTTATACCTAATTTAATGATTAATCGATTTTGTATTAATTCGAGGATAACTTAGTAAAAATGCAACTCTAAATATACTACGTTTCTTTTGTCCTATATCTGGGGTAGGTGTGGTTCCTAAGAATATCACTTCACGCAGGGGCGTAGCCAGGGGTGTGCCAAGGGTGTGCCAAGGGTGTACGTGCACACCTCTTGAGAAAAAAGTACCTGTAGAGGAGTACAGGAAAATGTTTCCCACCCGGCACAAAAAGTTGTTTTCTTACAGCTGTGCACACCCCTTAGCAAATTCCTGGCTACGCCCCTTACTTCACGCTTATTCATACCTATCACCCTCAATTTGAAACATGCATAAAAAGTTCGAATTTGTTCATAAATCATTTGGTAAGATGTAGAAAAACAAAAGAGAGAACTATCATCTTGATTGTGTGGGTGTAGATGTGGGTATGAGTGTGCGTGTAGGTGTGGGTATGGGTGTGGGGTGTATGTTTATTGCACACTCCAAACCCACACCCACCCTTTCACCATGAGATGGTAAACCTAAATGAGCTGATAATTTAACCCATTCATCAAATCTATTATCATCAAAAACATGTTTCAGTTTAACTTTGCCATTTCCAATTGAATCTCGACCAACAACATCATCATCATATACAGCAAAATGAATTGTATCATCACCTTTATGAATATTAAATGTAAATCGTCCGTTCCATACAGGATTATTAGAATTTTTTATAATTTTTATACGTTGTTTATATTTTTCATCTAAATAAATTTCCACATATGCATCATTTTGACCAATTATATCGCAATCTTTAAGACTATGTCCTTCAGTAATAATAACTTCTAATGTACCATTTGGGATTGTATTTGTTAATACTTGTATTTAACTTTGTTATGAAAGAAATGAAATTGAATGTCTCAAGCTTTATTTTTTTATTTCTTGTCTAACAAAATAAAACGTCCTTTGAGGTTATATCTTTCCGTTCTCTATCGTTATTCATTTTCATATGTTGTTTCAAACGGCATAATTATCGTTCTATATGACTGAAGTTCTTTACTTATTATATGAAACATAGTAGTTGTTCGAGAAGAATGACAAATGATTGCGTTCTTATTCATTTTTCTATGTCAACGTATGAAAAAAATCTGTTAGAAAAAAATAGAAATGAATCATTATGATACATAAATAATACTGACGTATCAAATAATTTTTTATTCGATGTACCGATTTTGTTTTTCGTTAGTGTCAAAAGGTAAACATGAATAGCAAAAAAAGAAATATTAATATTCCAAAATTAGCTTTGGGAATAAAATTTTTTTATGAGTATTAAAAACATGATGATGCAACGAAGCGAAACTATATACTGACAAACACATATCTGTCATCCTTGACGCTCTTACAACCATCATGAATTAGAGTAGATAATGATGATAACTGCGTTTACTTTTATTTTATTGTATACATTTATTTATATTGTAGTTTACAAATAAAACCAGATGCTGTCGGATCTACAAATATTTCCAAAGTGTTTTAACAGGATCTCATTTGCTATGTCACTGCTAATTTACCTGATCCATAGACATAACAATTTATTATAACTTATAATAAAACTTCCTGACTACTATTATTTTCGTGATTTATCTACTAAATACTTAGATATATTGTATATGTTATAATAAATAGTCACAGTTATTTTTTTGACATAACATATCTACTGATAATAATACATTAATAGAATTTGAATATTATTATAGAACATAAAATGTATTTGTTTATTTCCAATATATTGAAACTGCATATTTTGAATTCTTCTTCAAAGCATACACATGTCAGAAGTATCGTTTTGCTAAAGATTTTGACTAACTTAGATATGTATTAGTCAAATTAAAGAAATTTGAAATTAATGAATATCATAAGTTATATATTATTAACGATCATTATGGTGCTATCAAACATAAAAAACATAATTTACATATGAATAATATTTGTTTTTTGTATTTGCACATCTATAACATCTATCAAGTGCCGCTAATGATTTGTAATACATAATTCAGATTCATATTATTTTTTTCTATGAATCAGTTGTGACATTAAAAAACTATACTCGAGCACCAGAAATATATAGATTCATCTTATTTTATTAGTTTTTTTTCTCGAGATATACTTTCATGTCGACAGGTACTCATTGAATAGAAGGAAAGAAAAAAACAACGTGTATAGAGTGTATCAGCTGATGCTATCTTATTTGCATTTTTGTTTTTCTTTCGCGACATGTTTGTTAATGTCATTGAATGATTGATTCTAATGAAATAAACGACATAAAGATGCATTCATTTATTTATTTTATTTAACAGAAAAAAAGATACGATAAATATGGATGATAGTGAATTTGATCAAATATCACAAATTATATTCGATGGTATATCTTCAATTGACAGAATTGGTATTCCTGGAACGCTTATTCCATTAACGAATGATACACGTGCCGTTCTATGTGGTGATGATTCAACGAATGTCATTATTGTTGCTACTCGGTTTGGTAATGGACGTTATTTAGTATTCGCTCATAATGGTTATCCATACATATTTTTAAATATCGAAGAAAAAATTCGAAAATTTGTAGAAAATTGTCAACGATGGCTTAAACAAGGACATCAAGCAGAATTTGTATCAATAAATGATGCAGATACGATGTCTGATATGGAGACACGTGGAAAAATTCTTATTTGATATGGTCATTGTTCTAAATCTGAAATATTTATGAAAGAATTAGTAAAAGAGAGAAAATATTTTTAAATTTTAAATATTCGATTAATTTTGTTTCTTTTCTTAGTGTACTTTTTTGCAAGAAGGTGGTGGATTAATTTGTGGAACAACAGCATGGGGTTGGTTACAATATAATACTGGCAAACTTTTAGCCGATTTTCCATTTGCACGATTTTGTGATTATATTGGAGTTAAAGTAACAGATAATTATTCAAGTTGTTCTGATCCAATAGAATTTCGAGAAGATTTAATTAAATTTAAAAATGTTTATCATGTTGTAAGAGATTTAGCACATAATCCAAATAATGTAGAAAATTTAGCTATTATTGGATCAGCTGTAAAAGAACTAGGTGATACTTTACCTGGAGTTCCAATTGAAACATTACAAAATATTGTTATGAGTGCAAGTCAAGAAATAATACCAAATGATAGTTGTCCAATTAAAGATAAAAAATGTCGAGAACAATCAAGTGGAATTTGTGGAATTATGTGTGGTCTACCAGGTGTCAAAGCACCAGGTAGAAATATATTTATTGAATTAAATAAAGTAGTTTAATGATAAATTTTAGGTATTCAAAATTTTCCAGGAGATTTTGATCGACCACCAAGCATTTTAACAAATGTTCAATGTCATATTGAATCGAAAGCTAGTGAATGGTATTGTACTGGTAAAAATAAAAGAAAAAGAAGATTTGAATGAAATAAAATTTTGTTGTTTTTTATTAGGATACTATGTAGCTGCTGGTGTTCCAATTCAGATTGATGTTTTAGACCAAAGTGGAGCAACTGGATGGTCAGCTAGAGTTGGATGTCATTCTGATGATCTTCGAGTATGTTTAGAAAATACTTTATTCTTAATGAAATAATATTGTTTGAAAATAGAATTGTGATGAACTTCGTCGATGGCCTTGTATTTCGACACGTAGACCATTATCTGATAAAACAATACAAATGAATTCAGCATTTGGTGGTTTACTTTTTCTTCAAAGTCCTGGAGATGAACCAAGTTCAATTACGGTTAATCTTCATCATGTCGTATTAACACTAACATATGATATAACTGATTCAAATCGTGCTGAAACATGGAATTATAAACGTTCTTATGCACAAGGTTTATGGGCTGATATAGCTGGACGACATATTGTATTTAATCTTCCATCGAAAAGTGTTCTACATCTAGACTCTGCTCAATTAGATCGAGCTTTAAATTTTTGGGATTCAATTGTTTTAGCACATCATGATTTACGTGGAACAAAGCCAACACATCGAGAACGAATTGTTTGTGATAAACAACCATCTGCTGGTTATATGCGTAAGTCATCTTTTTTACATCATGAAAAAAAATCATTTATTTGTATTTTAGATAGTGGATATCCAATTGTGACACATCTAGATGTTAGTGATGCGAATTCAGAATGGTTTCTATTTAATAGTGAACATTTAGAAAAAGAAGGAGCATGGGGTTTATTTCATGAAATTGGACATAATATGCAACAAGGCTGGTGGAGTAAGTAGATAATACTCTTTTTTTGCAAGGAGATCTAACAGAAAAATTTCTCTTTGTTTTTAGCATTTGAGGGTACTGGTGAAGTAACAGTAAATATATTTACTTTACATGCAATGGATAAGGTTTGTTCTCTTAAACCTTGGATACATACATGGTTAGAAGATAAAATATCAAAGACAAAAACATATATTGAAAATGGATCAAATTTTGATGAATGGAAAGATAACCCTGGTATTGCTTTATTTATTTATGCTCAATTAGCTCGTGAATATGGTTGGAATACTTATCAAGATATTTTTCGTCAATATGAACAAATACAACCAAATCTTAATTCCGATCAAGAAAAAATGGATTATTGGATAACAACATTTTCTGAACAAGTTCATAATAATTTGGTTCCATTATTTAAATTTTGGGGTTTTCCAATTTCACAATCAACTGTTGATGAATTACAAAAATTTCCTATTCCACAAATATTTGACGAATTTATTCAAGTTGCACCAGAACGTTATAGTATTTGAAGTATTTTAATTTCTTTTTATAGATATGCTGCTTCCGATTGTAATCTTTATATAAACTAGTTCTTTTTTTCTATAACTCAGCTCTACGTTTAAAATACATCTTTTATTTAATAATAAAGAAAAACATTAATTTTTTGAACTAATTGGTGGTTTTTTCGTTACTGTCAATAATACGTCATTATCATCTTTTGCATATGAAACTTTATTTGATAATCGAAATGCTGGTCGACCTTGTCGTATTCCATCGTTTGTACGAGAGAAATATGTCCGAGATACTGTTGGATCTCTTTAAAGTCAAAAATAAATAGAATTAATAATTGATTTAGATAAAGAAAATTAATATACTTTTTTAATATTTCAAGTGCATCTCGTGTTTGACATGTTCTAGAATCTTTTGGACCATAAACAAATTCTTGAAGATCAAGACACTAGAATACAAATATTTTATTTCAAACAAAATAAAAGAAAAAAGTGGAGTGCAAACCTCTTTTAAATGTTCAGCTGCATTAAGATATTCACATTCACGTAAATAAATAGCACCAATACGTGATTCACTTTGTATAACTTCTTCGGAAAAATCACCAAATAATCGTTTTTTGTCTAATAAACTATCACAGAGTATATTTAATGCATCCTAAAATAAAATATTAT